ATTTGCTACATTTCTAGTGTTATAAAGGCTAGGCACTCAGCAGGGGTACTCGATGATCATGAAGGAAGCTTTGGCAGTCTATTGCACCGTTTCTAAACTCTACAAATATTTAGCTGGTCGAAAATTTCAGATCCTAAGTGATCACAAGCCATTCACAAACTTTATTTTCAAAAAATTTTTGAAAATAAAGTTTGTGAAGAACAAATGGTAAGGTATAGTTTGTGAAAGAAAAGTGTTGAACAAGGTATTTCATATGATGAAGAAAAAAGAAATGAAACTGTCTATGTTTTTTACCACTTCTATTTGTAATTAACGTTACTGCAGTTTCGTCCTATACAGACATTTTCAAACTAGCTGAGTTTATTGTATAAGTTTGAAAATGTCCGTATAGGACGATACTGCAGTAACGTTAGTTACAAATAGAAGTGGTAAAAAACATAGAAAGTTTCATTTCTCATTTCTTCATTATGATTTTCTACCACGTTGTAACGGCTACATCAATCAATTTATTTCATATGAAGCCAAATCAGTAAAAGCTGTATAACCAGTGTAAACCAGCTTATAAAATATCGGTGACAGGCTTCTAGCGGAACATGCCATTTTGACATGAATAGAGTCCGTAATGTCTCATTTGAACTCGCTGACGTGTGAAAGCTGACAGCAGAAAAATTTCAAGAAGTGTCAACTCAAAACTTGTAAAACATTTGCATACTCGTAGAGAATAAGGATGAGGTGCAAGAATTCATAATAAATGTTGCAGAAGATGCCAATGAAACTGAATCAGAACTAAAAAAACTAATCAATACAGTTTGTTGTATGATTTACAAAAACCGTTACACGTGTTTCGCTATACAATAGCTTCTTCAAGTATAAACTGTTTATGCTATTATAGTGCTTATAAGCTTATAGTGAAAATCATACAATAAACTGTATTGATCAGTTTTTTAATATGGATTTTCATCAAGTATCGGCCAGTTCTATTCAATTATTGAATCAGAACTGTTCGGCAATGAAACAGATAAACAGAATGTGATGCGTTAAGTTAGGTTGACAAAACTATTATAACAATTTTATTGTAAACGCCGTAATAGATGGTAGATGCTGGTCCCGCCCAGTATTGCCCGGTGCATCGCAACGACTTAGGCAACGTGAAGTTGCTTTCGGGCTAACATTTAGTTGCTGTGCCGCTGTTTCCGGTTTCAAAGGTGGGAATATAAGGGAAAATGCATGATGGCGCTCCTAGGGTCAAAATACTCCGGAGGTGAAATAGCTCAATCGAATTTTCGGATGGGGGCTGATTCGAGAGCATCATCCTGCAGAAATTATTCGAAAACCACTAATTCTGACATTCAGCAGGGTCTTCCTAACATCAGTCCACAGAGAAAGAGTATGGCAACTGCAGTTGCTAAGAGGCCCACTAGCAACTTCAAAATAGACTTCTGCAACATCACAGGACTCAACTCAAATATAAACTCAGTGCACCAACATCTAGAAACAATTAGTCCCCATATTCTTCCACTCACAGAAACCAAAGTCAGTGATTCAACAAACTCCGACAATTTTCTTTATCCCGGCTATGATTTCCACTCCTGATTCGGACGTACCTACCTTTGGAATATCTTTTTTTATCAGAAGCGATCTCTCCTGTCAACAAGAGGAAATGCTGAAGCCCCGAAACACCATTGATTTTCTGCAAATCAATCATCCCAGTGCCGAAATTTCCATATTCGGTGACTTCAGTGTCCTCAGTATTGAATGGCTCAAATTTTCAAATATTAACGACGAACAAGGTCACGAAGCTGAGGCTTTTGCAATAGGCAGCGGTGTTCAATAAGGACTCTAGTTACCATGTGGGCCGGGTGTTAGATATTTAAAAAGAGAAGACAATTTTGTTTTGGTGGTAGATAATGATAATTTTTTCATCATACATTTAGCGGAACACACTTATTTTTCCGAGCACACCTCTTGCTTGTCTGTCCTTTACATTTTTACGACGGTCTCCGACATTCGCGCGTGCGTATAAGACCGGTGTCATCAATGATAAAATTTTAGCAATAATAATAATAACAATAATAATAATAATAGTCTACCGTAGTCGCGTGGTAGTTATAGAGGTTTCTGACACAAGGTGCAGGGCCTGCCGCGAGGCGCCCGAAACCCTAATGCACTTGCTATCAGCATGTCCAGCGTATGCGGTCTCGGCCTATATCCATCGACATAACGCGGCCCTAAGAGTGCTATATTACCATCTACGGAACTCTTACGGTATTGACGAGACACCGGTGTTGCCCTACGCTCCGGGGAATATTGAATCCGTTGTGGGAAACGAGAAGTGCCGAATTTATTGGAACTATTCGTTCCCCACCCTCAGGCATATACAAGCTAATGAGCCTGATGTCCTTCTCGACCACTAGAGCAAAATGATATTTGTCGTGGAGTTTTCAGCTCCTGGCGAGATGAATATCGTCAGAAAAGAGGAGGAAAAACAGATAAAATATCGATATTTTCTCTTCGAACTCCGCAGACTCTATCCAGATCACTCTGTCAAGATGGTTGTTCTGATTATTGGAGTCCTTGGTGGAATGATGTCCTCTCCACTCTCGAATCTTAAAATCATACCAGCTTGCCGCACTAAGGCAATCTTAGCCGCACAGATGCAGAAGGCTGTCATTCTTGGCTCACTGCGCTTGCTCAGGGCACATGATTCTCGGACCCAGTGATCACTTACCCCGCGGTGTGGGGAGTGGTCACTGGTTGATCTGTAGAATATCTGTAGAGTAGGGAGGGTGAGTGTAAGCCCACAGTACTTAGGCCATATGTGGCCCATTGTACATCCTCCCGAGGAGTTGTCCTCCGAGGTCATCGCCCATCCTGTCCTTTCCAGGAAGGTGGACAGGTCACTGGGAGACATCTCCTTTATATCGGCAGGTGTAGGCCAAGACTCGCCGAACACACACTCTCTTATTGAATATAACTCCGGGCACTCGCACAGAACATGCCTGACAGTATCATCTTCCTGTTCACACATCCTGCATAGAGGTGTGTCCACCAGCCCCATATTATGGAGGTGTTTCCTTAGTTGACAGTGACCAGTCAGAAATCCTACTGTTAGGCGTAGATTTTTCCTGGTCAATGCCAAATATTTCTTCGGCGCCAGCTTCCCAGCTTGCGCTGGGATCACCCAAGGTGATCCGGCAAGATTACATCCTTTGGTTTCGTTCCATCTCTTTAAGGATTGAGCATGGGTGTAACGCTTGACTAGTTCCGCAATTGTCGAAGTCATCAGGCCGTAGGTGCCACTGGGTCCTAAAATTCTTAGTCCAGCCACTTCCTTGGCTAAAAAGTCGGCAATGCGATTACCTCTACTCCAGTCTTGCCCTTTAACCCACCTCAGGATAATGTTATTATCTACCGAGGCTTTGGCTACGGTGACGCTCTAGTACTAGCCCTGAGGTTATACGTTGTCTGTTCAAGGCTAATAGGGCTTGTCTGCTGTCAGTGCAAAGTGTTATGTTTTTGCCAGAAATTCCTTTCTTGATTAATTCTTTTTTGGCGATTGAGATATCAGCCAAGTTCTGTTTGGACCACGCTGGTATTTCTTTCCATTCCCCACTTAATTCTTAGGCTTAGTGATCTGGAGTACACTCCACACCCTGAGCCTTCTTTGGTTTTTGTAAATCCGTATTGCATTTGTATCATCTGACTCTATGTTCTACTATATTTATATTTTGTAGGGTTTATTAAACACAAACCTGGGTTCAATTGCATCGCTTGTTGCCTGCAGCAGAGGTTGCGTAGTAAGCGCTTCCTGCCACAGACCCAGCCTCAATTGACCCATTCCTACTTCGAGGTTTCCATTGCCGCGGTTGGTGTTGTTCTCATGGCTCCTGTGATGTTTAAACAAGCCATTCGCTGTATTTGGTATAATTTTTGGATGGCCGTTACTTGTAGAACTTTCAGTCCCCATGCAATGGCTCCATACGTTAACATAGGTTTTATTATTGCAGTGTAGATCCAGTGTATTCACACGGGGTGATAGACCCCATGCGCGTCCCACTGTCTTCCGACATTGCTCATAAGCCACGTATGCTCTTTTTGCTCTACTATGTAGATGAGAGCTCCATGTTAGCTTCCTGTCGACGATAGTACCAAGGTATTTTACCACTTCAGAGAAGTTAAGTTTGCTTTTGAAGATTTCAGGAGGTTTATGGCCCATTGAACTTCTTTTTCTGGGATTGATCGACAGTGAGTGTTCCTTACACCACGTTTCTATTAATTTGAGCCCCTCCTGCGCTCTATCGCACAGTGTGTTTACAAATTTGCCGGTCTGTAAGATAACTATGTCATCTGCGAATGCAATTGTGTAGAATCCATTTTTGTTAAGGTGATTAATCAGGGTATCCAGAACTATGTTCCAGAGAAGGGGTGATAAGACCCCTCCCTGTGGACATCCCCTCATGACCAGTCCTTTCACTGTGATGTCTTCTACATTATACTTATTGCTCTACTAAAGAGCATCTTGAAGGGCAGAATCAGTAGACTTTCCCGGAGTATATGCATGCTGATTTGGATGAAGTGGGTTGTGAACTAGTACTTCATCTCTTGTGTACCGCTCACATAGCCTCTCCATGGTTTTTATGAAAAACGATGTGAGACTAATTGGTCGGAATGCTTTTGGCAGGGAGTAGTCCATCATACCATCCTGGGTATTTATACACAAACCATCCTGGTTTGGGTATAAATATTTCGACATTAAACTCGAAATTACGACTTGAAACTCGAAATTTCGAGATTTTCATAGTCGTAATTTTCATGAAACAGATAATAAAACTATGTGGTTCTTCTACGCTTTCATAAGAGTTTGCCTTAATCCAAATTCTCTCTTTAGGTATTCTTGACCTTTGCGCATTTAGCCATTAATTCAAATTAAATTTTCTATAATAATACCTACCTAGTCAAGATGTAAGTCTCTAGACACTAATCTCGATGGATCAACACAAATCAAAAATTGAAGAAATAAAGAAATCAGCTTCTGCGGTCTGTGGGCTCAAGAATTATGACAATAATTTTCCAAATTATTGTAGTCAGAAAATTCGAATATTTTGATAGTCTAGGATTCATTTGACTTCAAGGTGCTTGGCTTTCATTATAGTTGACAAACATTGGTTTTTATAATTACTACGTAAAATACTGAAAAAAAAATAAAAGTGAAGGTCAGAATGGAGATTGGAATTATCTCCGACATTTATTATCCTACTTTTATCTGTAGTTTAAGATTATGTAAAAGAGAACTTCTTTTGAGGTTATCTCACTCAAAGTGCAAGGTCTGGAAAAAGATAAAATGGGTTTTCTGGTAGGTGCAATAGATGAAGGCACATCTAGTGCCAGATTTATACTATTCAAAGCAGGAACAACTGAAGTTGTAGCTTCTCATCAACAAGAACTGTCTCAAATTCATCTCCAGGAAGGATGGGTTGAACAAGATCCAAAGGAGATTTTGAAATGTGTGCAAACCTGCATTGAAACAACAATTGACAAGTTGATTGCACTAGGAGGAAGTGTGAACGATATAGTTTCCGTAGGAATCACTAATCAGAGGGAATCCACAGTATTGTGGGATAAAACTACAGGGGAACCTTTGTATAATTCTATAGTGTGGTTGGACGTGCGAACTTCGTCAACTGTCGACTGCTTATTGGACAAAGTCCCAAACAAAAGCAGGAATAAAAATTACTTGAAACCTCTTTGCGGCCTACCATTATCGCCATATTTCAGCGCTGTTAAAATCAAATGGCTTCAAGAAAACATACCTCAAGTAAAGAAGGCCATGGCTGCAGGAACTTGTTTGTTTGGAACAATCGATACTTGGTTGATGTGGAACTTAACAGGTGGAAAAAACGGTGGAATTCACATAACGGATGTAACAAATGCTTCAAGAACCATGTTGATGAATATCGACACACTCAAATGGGACCCTGTCCTTATCAATTTCTTTGAGATCCCTAGCAATATCTTACCTGCAATCAAGTCTAGTTCTGAAGTTTATGGAGAAATAGCAGATGGTTCACTCAGAGGTGTGAAGTTAGCTGGATGTCTCGGTGATCAACAGTCGGCACTGGTTGGTCAACAGTGTCTTAACAGAGGACAGGTGAGCAGTGGGTAATATTTCTAAAACCCTTTATGGCTTTCTATTTCTCTATAATGAATAGAAAACAATAAATAAATATATTTCAATAGGATCGTGGAAACCCAGTTTATTTTAAAGTTGCTAGAATGACTTGCTTTTTGTCATACAAATATCAAATATTTCCAATCATCAGTTATTATAAACAATAAGGTTCACAAAAGATTATTTTTTTTTAGTTTTTTTTGTAGTCCATTACAAAGCTTCAAGAACATTTACACTAATAATCTTAAATAAATACAAATTTGTGTGATCAGAAACTAAATATCTATTAATGCTGCAACTTCTGGAAGAACTTGTCTTTTTAGAAGGTCAAAACTCGCTTCACCTCCTGTAAAAAAGTGAAAAACCTTGTCTTTATTTTCCCACTTGGAAGCACAGGGGGCTGTGTCACCACCACCATTTATCATTATCAGTAAATGATCTACATACCAATTAGATGCCTTGGATAGTAGACACTAAATAAATTCTATTTACAGAAACTTCACCTAGGCCTTGGACCGAGTTGACATTGAATTCCTTACCAAATTTTAGGTAACTGAGTTTACAGAACATACCTTATGTTTCTGTGCTCTATGTTCATTAGAGTGAGTACTGGCAAAGTATTCAAGCTTTTAGCAAAACTATAAATTTAATACAAGTATAAATATTCAATCATAATCAGTGAAAGCAATATTCGGTGAGTAGGTAAATGTAATTTATTTTTTTCAAATAACAAAATTTTATGATGTGACTGACATTCCAATAGTGAAGTTGAATTTTCCTTCAGGAAGTTACTTTCTATTTATACGTTGATATAGAAGTAAAAAGCCTAAATATTTGATAAGTTAATATTCTGTATTTCATTAAATGGTTTATTTTAGGCTAAAGCAACTTATGGTACTGGATGCTTTCTTCTATATAATACCGGTAATTTGAAAGTACACAGTGCTCACGGTCTACTTACAACTGTAGCATATCAGTTTGGTCCAGATAAACCTCCCGTTTATGCGCTAGAAGGATCTGTTGCTATTGCTGGAGCTGCATTGAACTGGCTCCGGGATAATTTAACAGTTTTGCCAAGTTTTGAGCAAGCCCAAGATATAGCTGAGAAAGCTGAACAAATTGAGTCGGGAGAAGTGTATTTTGTCCCAGCGTTTAGTGGTCTCTATGCTCCTTATTGGCAGCAGGAAGCTAGAGGGTAAATGGATTATCTTTATTTTTATATTGATTTCATTTTTTGTCATGTAATTGACATGATCTAGAGGAGCCTGATCATTTTCCTAACCTAAATTCTGCTAAGAATGATGATTCAGAGGTTACCTTTAGGTATATATCATATTACATTTATAAAAGTTTTAACGAACAGTATCCAAACATTCATAAGAGAGTTACAAGTATTTTAAAAGAGTTGTATAATCTTTGTTCAATAAATCTTCATCTTATCAGAATCAGATTTATATTTCAAACTTTTCAACTTCACTAAATGTTTTGAAAAATTCTTGATGCAACAATAGGTAATTATTTTTCTGTAATTAAAACGGTTTTCATACAATATTATGTATCTCCTTGTAAGAATAATGAGTTTATTGATGAATTTTTGAAGGTTTGATCTGCATTTGATCTTGTCTCAACTTTCTGTATAAAATATTCACATTTTGTTTGAAATGACGAGTTGTGCTTTAAAAGTGGATTATATCCGCAAAAGGTTAAAAATTTTGTTTAAGGAATATTGTTCCTTTTCTGATTGAACTGGATATTACTACTTCTAGTTCTTTTTAAATTCTCTATTTCTTTGATCTTATCAATAGAACTTCAGAGCAGATACATTCTAAAGACTTCTTTTTTTTACAAAAAATAATAAATTTTATTGTCTCATATTTGTCGATATCTCTTGTTAAGTAGTCATCGCTGACTATATATTAATATTCAAAGAACTAGTTTGAATAGTTCATTTATAACTTGTATAACATTTTCCTTACCTTGTTGCAATTTGTTTTTTAAACTTTGAATTTCCAAAAATATTTCCTTGTAAGTTGTTTGTCATCACTAAGATAAATTATATTTTATATACTAGAAATATAGCCCGGGAGATATAAGGCATTTTGGCATATTTTGGCATCTTGATAAGTCTTTTCATACTGACAAAATAGGCAATGAATGTTTATCAAAATTTAAAGTGAGTTGGGGATTACAATAGAGATTTATTGACATTGTTGTTTCTAGTTTATTTAAATGTTATACAATACCATCATTATTCTGATTATTTACATACTCTTAGTACATGTGATGAAACTCTGAAAATAGCTATTGAAATGATGATTGTTTCACTCCTTAAAATATTTTAGTATTCAGTTATGAACAAACTGAAACTTAACATCTCCAAAACTAAGGCATTGATTGTTACAACACTATATAGATGTAAAAATATAAATATTAATGAGGTTAATGTTGTGATTGATGATGAAAAATTTGAAATCGTGAACAAATTCGAGTATTCAGGATTAATGTTTGATAATTCACTTCATTTCATGTATATAAAAATGAAATTCTGAAAAAATTCCATTTCTTCTCGAGAATTTTGCAGCGCGTAAGAATCCACTTGAAAATAATAGGTTCATGTTGCAACCATATTCTGAATATTGCTTAAGTTTGTAGTATTTGTTGATTTGGATCAAATCAATACATGTACAAAAATTCATACTGTGCCAAAATTTATAGGATAGTTTTACAAAAAAAAAAATAATGTATGGTGGTAAGGGAATTATGCGTCAAGTCACGTTTAAAAAAAACATTAAAAACGTAACCTACAGTGTCAATTCATTTTATACCGTATTGAATTCATGCAGCTGAATTATTATATTTTTGAAATAATAAAGAAAATCATCAGTCACACTTTTACCAGGGGAAAGAGTGTCAATCAGTATCATGAACATGCTGTATTCTTAGTGCATCTGATGATCTATATACCCTGTAACATTCAACAGACGGAGATTTTTGTTTGTGATAATATTTTTGTGAATATCCTATATTTCAATTTCAATCAGTATTGTATTAATGTAACCCAAATAATATCACTTTATATTGTATATAACGAGCTTTGAAGAAGTAATGAATTTTATTAGATATACATATATGTGACCAACATATAATCAAACCCCTCTATTCTATAGCTGATTATTATTTTTAACTGAAAATGATCTGACACATTTACCTGATGCGGCGGATGACTGATGTTCATTACTTTGATAATTAATGAAATGCTGATTATGAAATTATTCAGTATCAAATTCCTAGAAAAAATGCAGTAATGGGTCTTTTTTGAACTTACTATCCCAATACTTTGCTGCTGGAAGAGCTGTAAAGTAATTGCTCCCAGAAAGAAACATTTTTGAAATATTTTCTAAAATGGACCATGAGTTATCTTTTCTAATATGTTGTTATGTAGTGTTATAGTTGGCATTTCGGAAGATACTGAGGCATGTCACATTGTGAGAGCCACTTTGGAAGCTGTCTGTTATCAGACAAGGGACATTCTGGAAGCAATGAACAGTGATTATGGATCAGCATTATCCAGTCTGCAGGTAAATGAGATATTCATAAGTATTTTTTATTAATACAGAGGATATAAAATAATATTTTTTTCCCATAAAAACAATCACTCAACCTCTATGAAGAATCTTGCATAAATAACTGTCGAATATAATTCAATGTTCGGCGTGGTATTAGTCGAAAAAGTAGTTGTTTTTGGGTATGCATTTACCAGAACCTACAATGTACGTTGGGAGAGATGAATGTTTTGAGATTTCATTTCGAAATATTTATTTTCATCAACCATAAAGTACAGAAATCTACTTTCATTTAGGTGGATGGTGGAATGACTGCAAATTCCCTTCTCATGCAATTGCAAGCTGATTTAGCTGGAGTGACTATTCTTAAACCATCAATGGCTGAGAGCACTGCCCTAGGTGCTGCGATGGTTGCTGGTGCTGCGGTAGGCCATTGGAATTTAGATGGACCAGTAATGTCTCTTCCTACAACCAAGTGGTCTCCTCATTTCACAGAAGACGAACGTGATGTACGTTACTCCAAATGGAAAATGGCCGTAGAACGTGCTATGGGTTGGGAGATGTAATTTACTCTAATTTTTTCATTTGTTCAAACTTTAAATTTACAGAGAACTCAATATCCTTACTTTTCATCAACTTATATTTTTTAGAGAAATATTCGTTATTCTTGAAAATACTGAAAATAAACAAAAATTTGACAACCAAATTATAAGAAATTTACATAACTACTTGAGAACGAATTTCAAAAATAACCATTGAATGATCATAAGAACTAATGAAAGAAGAAATCAAATGGTGTATGAATTATCGTTTTACTTATAAAAAATTATCAAGTGACTTTAACTATAAACATCATCCAAGAAGTTTCAAAGCACATTTGAAAAAATTTATTTTTGATACTTGGTCTAGATGCTTGAAGAAAAAATGTTTTCAAAATTCTTTAGAGAAGTTCAAACATACTGGTAGGCAACCAATTCATGTTCGCACCTATAACTTTTGTGCTTCTCTTGGTATCAATATCGAATTTTGATGGTTTAAAAGGTATCACAATTTGGATTGATTGGAACTAATATATTTTTTGTGGCGTTTCTAGTTTTAGAAAAAAATTACCCCCACTTTGGAATTTCAAATGAAACACCTAGAATATTTATAAATTTTGGGACTCAGCAGTTCATTCAACATACAACCATTTTATTTTGGTGGGAAAATACTTTTTTCAAAAAAAAAAATTGTCTAAGGGACTGTGATCACTGAAAAATTTTGCTAGCCATGATGTATGTGGAAGTCAAAACGGTACTTCTTGTGATACCATTTGAATCACCAAAATTCCACATTGAAAACAGAAGAAAAAAGGTAGAAGGGCGAGCCTGAATTGATTTACACACTAAATCTAAGTTGTTTGTTAGCAAATATTGATTTTTGTGTTTTTGTCATATAAGTATGTATGTACATATGTCCACTACTTTTGTTAATTCTTTTTAAATGTTATATATTATTTGACAAAAAAATCACAAAACCTTGAAAAAAATTCCTTTGAAACAGAAAAAATCTGCCTGAAAATATAGTACTCGAAAATGTAGATAAAAGAAAATTGTTTTATATAATATTATTAAAAGAATGTTGCTCATATTTGTTATTAAATGAATATTTCTAGAGTTCTATCAATCACCAAGTGATCATCTTCAAGAGGAAGATTAATTTTTCTCTTGAAAATGATCACTTGGTGATTGAAACACATGTCGAGGTGTTGAAAATAACGGTTTGGTGTTGTGATAGAACTCTAGTAATATTCATTATTACACCAAAGGTTCTAAACAGTGCATTACAGGAAATGTTATTGTTGAAATATTGATATTATTTTTTTTAAGAAATTTTTTTGTGAATATTGTATAATGTACCAGATGAAGGTCAATATTATTTTGAAATAAATATTGCATAATAATTCCTGAAGTCTTAGCCTCTCCTTAAACATATTAAATATCAAAAGAATGCTTCCGACTAGAAAGAACAGAGAAAGTAACGCTCTTATTTACATTAACTAGTATGAGTTGTTTTGGTTGGTGAATATAGCGTTACGCAACAATCTGGATGACATAGAATTGAAACATTTTCAAAATTTAAAACAGAGAAACCACATATTGGAGGGAAAGTTTTGCCTTCGTCTCTATTATATTTTGTGTGATAAATTTTCTAAAACAAAACACCAGAACTGCAACACTCTTCTGGACGCGCGTGTTCTTTGATTTAGTTTGGATATATTCAAATTGTTTATAGTGCCTGTTATACTGCAAATGAAACGTGAAAATCACTTACCTGAATGCGGGGAAAACGGTTTTTGTAGACATAGACAGGTGTTACACCATCAGTTTGTCATCAGTTCAGTCCATGACATTACTCTATCATTCATCGTTATGACGGGTGAGTAATGGATCGTTCATGGGTCAATCAGTTTGTCATCAGTTCATTCGTGATCAAGGTCATGTACTGAACTGATGCCAAACTGAGCGTGTAACACCCGTCTTAGATATTATACAATTGTAAATTATCCCTTGAAAACGTTAACGCCGGCCGTCGCTGGTCTTCGTTGGTCTTCGTTGATTGACTGTGACTTGGCCAAGGTCTCTTCGCGTCAAGGAGATTCCAGCTTCCAGAGATTTTCCATTAAGATAAATAAACAGGCAGATGGGGAAGTCTAGTTAAAAGTGCGGTACAATGTGAGCTAGTAAGGCGATATACATTTGCAAATTTATCTGATGTTCAGTTGAAAGTTTTTGTATTATATTGGCAGTGTAGTAGTGAAATAAAGTTGAGTTTAACTGTATAGTGTAGTCAATATTTAACGATCCCACGGGTTAAACGTAACATTTGGTGTCGGAAGTGGAGTAATTTTCTGTTTTATGGTGGAAACAAGGAGTGTCGATTACGACGGGATGGAGGATCTTCGGAAAATGTTCGAGGCTTTGTAAGTGGGCCTGGTGGAGATTGGAAAACGCTGAATAGAGGAATTTGAATGCAGAAGAGAGAAAAATGAACGAAGGAGGAAGAAAGATTACGCCGAAATGAAAACCGTGAATTAATCCTAAAAATTAAGGAAAAACAAGAAAGGGACAGAGAGGAACATTGTAAATTATTTTTAAATATTCAGGAGAAACAAGAAACTGACAATCAAATGTACCTTAATTCATTTGAAGAAATAATATTCAGGAAGAATATTATTCAGGAACAATTTGAAAAAGTATTTCAGGAAATAAAGGACGAATTTGAAAAAGTAGTCAATTAGAGAATTGAGAAGGTTGAAAGGAAATCTGAACAGAAGCTTGAAGTAGTCGGCAGAGAATTTGAAGAGGTTTTCCGGGAACTTCGGAAAGAAAGAATCACCAGAGACGAAGAAAATCGCTGTAGAAAAATGCAAATCGAAAGCAACATCTCCCTTCTGGCAGTAGTTTTATTTAAACTTCGATGGCGAATCTTCATGGTCAATTTATCGCAGACAATTTGAGGCCGCTGCGGAAAATAATGGATAGAAAAATGAGGAGAAAGCAACAGCTCTTATACCGGCACTACGAGGAAAGGCTTCTGAATATCCACAAAATATTTCAGTGAAGAAGTAAAAGGATTGTGGAGCAGTCGTATCAGCTTTGGAAGTCGGGCATGGTGGTGAGTACCTTTAACAAGTCTACTAAGCTCAATTGAAGATGATAACTAAAGGTCCATCCAAGAGTCTGTTTGAATTTTGGAACTGAAGTCGAAAGATTGGTAAGAATCGCCTATCCAGAAGCATACGATAACTTCACCCATAATGCAGTGTCTCTTCACCGTCGATACTGGAGCAACGAGGTCGGTAATGAGGGCCGTCATTTCCAACACTAGCAGTTTGAAGAAAGTATCTGTAGTGCCACTGGAGATAGACCGACGTTTTATGGAGAAGCTGAAGTGAGGCTTGGAAATTGTGAAAAGAAATGTGAGGTATTAGTAGGCAAAATCGTCGACGAATTCATTTAGGGACTAGACTCTACGGATTCGTGGTGGACATGAGAAATAAACTGTTGAAAGTTCGAAATGTTCACAACACCGAGAAAATCATTCAAGCGGAAATTGCTGGGCATGGCGGCTTGAGCACAGCATCCCATCCAATGGCTCTGAAATGGCATCCAATAACAGGGTGACTCTCAAGAAAGGGCAAGTAATAGGCACTTGCGAACCGATTGTGAAATTTGCCATATTTGAGGAAAAAGTCATTCTGCAGCGTGCACAACAACCCGCAAAGGTTCTCATCCAGAAAGACGTGGAGCCATGTGTCTATAGAAGAACTATGCAAGGCCATCCGATTCGTAGAGGAAAAGAACGGCATGTTTGTGAGAGGCAGAATCATTGGTCGAACAGATTTAGTTCAACATGTTGGAGGAATGAGTAATTGAAAAATCAAGCAGCCCCTTGTCACCTGTTGTATTAGTGACGAACGGATTTAGTTCAATTTGTTGGAGGAAGGAGTAATCGAAGAATCAAGCAGCCCCTTGTCGTCATCTGTTCTGGGTGACTAAGAAAGATGGATCGACTAGATTCTGCGTAGACTACAGGAGGCCTAATGATGTCATCAGAAAGGACAGTTACCATCTCAACAGACGACGACACCGTGAACATCTGGCTGAATGCAGATGTTTCTCAACATTAGATATAAAAAGAGAAGACTGCCTTTTCCACTGGCAATGGATTATATCAGTTGAAGTTTGTCATTCGGATTATACAATGCACCCGAAACATTTGAACACTTGATGGAGTTGGTTCTGAGAGGACTCACCTGGAAAACACGGTTGGTACATCTTGATGACATTGCAGCCTCTTCCAGGAAAAGAAATTTCTTGAAATTCAAAAGGAGTTAAAACAGATTCATAGTAAATCACGACAGTGCAAAAATGGCCAACGTCGAAGAGCAAGCACGACGTAAGAAGTTTCCTTGGACTTTATAGCTCTGACCGGCGTTTCGTGAAGGACTTTGGAAAAATTGCCAGACCGCTGCATGGTTTAACTGGGAGGAGAACCCCTTTCGTTTGGTCACCTCAACTTAAAAACCTCAGAAGGACAAATGGTCAGGTATGTCTAAAAGTTACAAACTTACGATTTTGAAATTCGACATCGGAAAGGAAAGAGTCGCGAAAACGCAGGTAGCCTCTCAAGAAGACCATGTTGGACATCCGGATGCAAATTTTGTCAACGCCAGGAGGACAAGAATACGCAGTTGCCAGGAGAAGTTTTAGCAGATGTGACAAGGTAGCGGACAGAGACTGCCTAATGGACAGCTCTTCTACCTCCCGCTGCTTTGGGTTACCTCTGACTCGGAGGGTAGCAACCTGTTCAGGGATACGGACACAAATGATGAATCTCTTGACCATGATGTGGTACGGTCGTTAACAGTTTCCGAGGGTGACACTACCTTCATGATAAGGATTTTAGGAAATGTGAATGAATTAATGTGAGAAACTAGAAATTGTCCACCAATTTGCCAAATCCAAATTTCAGCTTTTCAGCGACAGGATGAAGATAAGATTCGACAAAAAATAAATGCCGGTAAACCTCAAGGAGGGCGATGCAGTGTGGCGCTAGCAACCTCAACGTCAGAAAGGTTATTTGTGCCTGAAATTGCAGTCCATGGCATGGACCTTACTTGGTAACCGAAAAGATAAACGATCTGGTATACAGAATACAATTGTCGCCTAGAAACAACTAAAGTTATCCACTTAGAACGGCTGAGTCCTTACTTGGACTGTTACTAGGGACGAACAACCTCGGTGAAGAGGGTAGTATTGCGTTTCTCGGTCGTTGTAGGTGTTTCGTCACTTCGAGAAGATTCCAATTTTTTTCCAAAGACTTCTATTAGGATATATAATCACTACCAACAGGCAGATGGGAAAGTCCAATTGAAACTGCAGTACGAATTGAACTACTGAAGCGATAGATATCTGAGAATTAGTCTGAAGTGCAGTGTAGTAGTGAACTAAAGTTGAGTTTAACTGTACAGTGTCGTGAATTATTGACGAACTCACTAGCAGCTTAAGTTATAAAAAGTTGTACATCAAATTATAGGTAAGTTATTTAAATTTAGAATAATAGCAGGCCGTCTTTCAGCTAATACCTCTGCTATAGATATCTCGGAAAAGGTAGGTCCTACAAGAACGGTTAAATGGCACAAAAGTTGTCTTTTCAGGAATGCAAGATAATGGTATTTCTGAAAATTTGCAAAAAACTGAAAATGACAGATTTTGTTCTTTACTCTACCGTCTCCATTTTCAATAATATCAAAAAATGGCACAGGAACGTTGCTTAATTTTATGTTTTTCATAATCTGGCCCAACCTATTTATCAATCCGACGTTTCGTTCATTGAAATCCATCGTCAGTGTTTTTTAAATATTTTGGTAGTCATTGTAATTACAAATTCATTGATATATAACAACACATGTATTTCTCGACGTTTCTTTCAAAAAACTTCTTCAAAATTACATCATTCAACTTTTTTTCAAAGAGAAGTCAAATTCCTAAATATCGTTGCAAGCACATAGTTAATAGAATCGTAATACACCACATTGAAAAAGAAACAGTTGCGAAAGAGAATGTAAAGAAATAACAAATTGAAGAAAATGAACATCATAACAGAATGTGTCACGTTACTGTTTTTAAATTACCGTGTCATACGATATCGCATTAAATTTTCAAATTGTCTTCCATCATTTCTTAAACAAATACTTGCTCTAGAAATAGTGTGGAGTGGAGTGATAGTACAGGCTTTCCTGATTGAAACTTTCAATTCCTGAATATTTTCAAAATTTGTTCTGAATACTTTATCTTTTATGACGCCCCACAAGGAAAAATCTAGAAGAGAAAAGTCCTGTGATCGAGGTGGCTATTTCCACCTTCCTGGCATATTTGTATCGAGGAAATATCTGCACATTCACCTGCAATGTGGTGGGGCTCCGTCGTGTTGGACATATATTTTCTTATTAGGCTAGGTTACAAATCTTCTAAAAACTCAATTAGAGTCCTTGATAAGAGGTCCCAGTATACTTCTCCGGCTAAAAGTGTTTAAAAAAGTGGAGGCCAATAATTTTATTATCAAGAACAGCAATCCATACGTTAACACCATATTTCTTTTGAAAATTGTAGCCAGTGATAATGTATTTTCCTGTTGAACAATTGGTAAATATACTTTCATCACACCACATTTTTTTTGCAAATTTCATTATTTTGGCAAAATTTTCTAATGAGCCATCTTCAAAAAACTTTTTCCTGTTGAAGTCCGTCAAACGCAGATGATGGTCTTTCATGACTGGATAAAGCTTGAATTTATTTTTCTTTAAAATTTTCCCTGACGTAGTAGATAAGGACGAATTATGAGCAATCTCCCTCAGGGATACTTCCTTGTTCTCATTTTTTTATTTTCCACAAATTCTAGATCAAATGAATGCCACTTTGTCATTATTGTGAATCTTTTTTGAACTCACCTAAAGTGCAGATTTTATTATTGCCACCACATTCAATAACGGTACATTTTCTTTTGGAGGGTTTTTCAAAGGATCCGTAATTTCGTAAATTATTTTCGATGCGTTGAAAATATCTATGATGTTTGTCGTCGTTCAGGATATAATTTCTGATACATTGCCAGATATTTCGTAGCATTTCTCAAACATCTTGAATAAGCAACAAGCGTACCCACGTTTTCGTTATTGGAAAAAATGGAAATCGCTCACCAAACTGAATAACTGTTTTATTTTGTATTTGACAATTAACTCAACATTCACATTCATGTATTTCATGGCTCACTTTTTTGATACAGTACATTTATTGGTTGATTATTGATGATATATATACTAATTTCCTGAACAGAAATATTTGAGTTGAGACAATATTTCAAGAGACATTTGGAAATTATGAATGGCTTAATATTTTTCAAAGATTATTGGCATCTCTCTATCAAGACAACCCTGCCAGAAATCTATTTGGATTTCAGTAACATTGGGTTGAACCAGATTATGAAAAACATGAAATGAAGCAAAATGTTCCTATGTCATTTTTTGTTATTATTGATAATGGAGATGATAGAGCAAAAAGATATAATCTGTAATTTTCAGTTTTTTGTGAATGCCTCAGAAACGGTTGGTGATTTTATCAATCTGAGAATACCAGTATGTTGCATTCCTAAAAAGGCAACTTTTGTTTCATTTAACCGTCCTTGTAGGTCCTACCGTTTCCGAGATATCAATAGCGGTATCAGCTAAAAAACGGTCTGTGTATTGGTATATTTAGGTGATAAATATATGTTCATTAATTGGTATAAACAAGTTTATTTAACGAATTCCTTTCTTCGTAAGTATAGCGATTTTCAAAGTTTTGTTAACTTTTACATTTTTGGTGACAGTTACAACTCAGATGCATCCATATACAATACACTGTTTTTACTTTTCATCCTCCATACGTATACAATATAGTCAAATTAATACAAACAAAAAAATAATTGAACTTTCACACTGCTTCACACAGAAACGTCCGAAACTTATGGAAATTCTTAGCCGTCTCCGCATTTCGTATATCTGGTGACGTCACGCCGCCTTTCACTAAACCCCTTTTTTGATACCGTTTTTTTTGTGCATCGAATTTACTCAGAAAAATTATTTCAATCCCAATATTCTTCAAATTAGGTACACCAATTGTTTTTTCCAGTCCTCTACGCCTCTATTTGGCTCTACATAATTTTTATTAGCTTTATTCGTTTTTCCCATCTTATTATTTATGGTCATATTCGACAAATGCGTAAATGAGGTGAATAATATATTTGATTGTGTTGTCGGCAAAATGAGAGAATTTTAAATTATTGAAAAACGGACACATGTTAGTCATATTTCAAATTTGACAAAACTAAATTAGCTGTCGTTTCTGAGTTTTACATTTTGTATAATTTACACTCGTAACATTGAATTTATAGTTGTATATCTTTATGTATAACAATCAGATTGAATTGTATACTTCATGTCTTGATTTGACAATCAACTTTTACTCATTAGTCATTTTTAAAGCTGCTGAATGCTGCAGAATGAATCGTTAATTCAACGGAGACAGTCATAAACTGAACCACAGCATATGTAACAATGTTAACTATGGTGACTGAACCTCAGAGAAGACAATCGAGTCTCCGAACATAACTCCCTTCATTCACATGCAAGTGAATTATTTTGTCATTTGAACTGAAGCAAGGAAGCATCGGTACCTTAATAAAAAAACTGATACACCTGCAGTAATTGATGGACGGCCGCGTCTGTGTGTGGCAACGGTGTACCATTTGTGATTATTGACAAATGACTGAATTGACGTGACATTTTAACTGTCTAAAATATTGGGCTAGCCTAGCAAGCACGTTTTTTGCATTTACCGGTTTGTTAAAGAATATCTTCCTAGGAAAATGAATAATATATTTAAAGTTGCCACTCGATTTAATGGCTTGAGATCATTAATCAACCCAGTTAAAAATATATCGGCTTCTTGTGCAAACCCACATGGACAAAGGGCACGGAGCTTGTGGTGTATGAGCAAATCTTACAGTAACAAAATCGGAGGTATCGAACACTCTCAGCTATGCAGTTGTGGCTGTGGTAACAAACGTCTCGCCCACAGCAAAGGTAATTGTAACCAAAATAAATTTACAGAACCTAATTTTGTAATTTCAAGGTGAAAGCGAACTGGTGCAGTTTTTAACAGAGGAAGTATTGGCGGAAAGGAAAGCTCAAAAAATTAAAACTATTCCATCAGAATTGGATGGATTTAAGGCGAGTTTAAATGGAGCTGAAGTAACCTTGACAAAAAATACTGAAGGCGAATGGTAACTAGTTAACTAATTTCTTCTCACTCTGTTTTTGAAAATAAATCGTCTTGATTAGGTGTTAAAGAATATTATTGGAGTTTTTTCTCAACACCAAATCGTTATTTTTAACACCTCGACACGTGTTTAGATCACCAAGTGATCATCTTCAAAGAGGAAGATTAAAACAGTTTTAATCTTCCTCTTTGAAGATCACTTGTGGATCGAAACTCGTGTCTAGGTGTTAATAATAATGATTTGATGTTGGGAAAAAACTCCAGTAATATTCATTACTACATCAAAGGTTCCAAACAGTGTATCAGATGTTAGAGAATTTGATAATTATTTCTTATTGAATTATTATTAAATTATTCGTTTTAAAGGCACGTGCTAGATTTCACAAACTTTATCTACATCTATTATTCTACAAATTACAACTGATGATGATTTATGAAACTACTAGTACTATGTTGCTGTATCGCTGCTGTTCCAATGTTTTGACAGAACTTGACGAACTTAGTTGTGTACAGCGTTATAGAACAGTGCTTTCAAAAAATTGTTCTACAGTGCAATCTAGTGGCGAGTTATAGAAAAATTGATAGCCTAAAAACCTCTACGAAAAATTACTTATACACGTCAAGTTTCATCACCATCGGTTGAGCGATGTAGAAGTTCATCACTTACCAACCAACAAACATCCATTCTTATATATTAGATATGACACTTTTAGGGGGGAGGGCGTTTTGTTGGTAGTTTCACAGAATTGAATTACAAATGAATACTGTCAAATTCATATTGCTATCATAAAGATCAGGAATGCTGCTTTCTTTTTAGTCATTTTAAATTTATTGTTTCATATAATTGAAGGCTAATGAACATGTATGTTCTTCTAGGACAAAGCTAAATAATATGGTTACATGATTTTCATTTCTTGACTTTGACAAAAATAATAATCGAATCAGGAATAATATTATTTTCCAAACTTTACAGTTTATTTTCAAAATATTATTTGGTGAAGCTTCTTTTTATTTTAACACATTCATATACACTAATATCCAATCAGAAATAATGAGAATATGTATGATACTCAAAAAATGTTTGCCAGAACTCTGAAAACTCCATATTTCACAGGATATCGTTGAATGTAATAATTTTATGTAATCAAAGATTTTACTTCACTTTTCGCACTTGAACACTTTTTGATTGTTTGAAAAATGAATTGCAATTGAGAAATAATGAAAGTAATAAGTACATAGTCAATATTCAACAAAAAACTAAATCGTGCTGGTAGGTCGTGGTCAAAGGAAACTCATAGTAGCGAATGTTTTGTCTGCTTCAGTGGTGTAGGCATTGACTGCAAGAAAGTAGTAGAAGTCAATGCCTGCCTGACTGCAAGAAAGAAAGTAGTAGAAGTCAATGCCTTCCCTACTGAAGATGTATGCTGCAGTAGTAGATGAAACATTTGGGACTATAAGTTTTTTTGACTACAGCCTACCAGCAAGGGTTGTGTTTTTTTTGAATAATGGAAATATAATTAGACTAGTTCGTATATCAAAAATATATTAAGTAATAATATAAATTTTCTGCTACTGTTTTTACATTAGGATGCCTATCTAAATCAATGATTATTATTTTTTTGTCTTAAACTTATAATTAACTTATGTATCTGAAATCTCATACATACCACCCATAATATATTGAAAAATGTATGATTTTTATCATAATTTAATAAGAATATCTGCAAAAATTGATAATTTTTCCAGCATCAAAATTACATTCAATGTGAATCATACAGTGGATACAGATCCTGATGAAGAACCTAAGTTGCATGAAAATATGGATAAACCAGACATAGGAGAATTGAAATCAAAGCCAGCATTCAAAGTAGAACTTATAAGAGGCGATACTACTGTGAGTTTGCTCTGTTCCTTCATGAATCCCAATGACCAAGATGAAGGTTACAGTAAGTTTAACAATTTCTGAGCATGTGATTATTTGTTCAATCCCAATTTTTTCAGATGATGTTTTTGGTATTGATGAAATTAGTATTTATAATGGAGAATGGAATGAAAATGTCTATGCTGTATCAGGAGAAGTTGTAGATTCAGTATGTACATATATGACTAAGTATCCTCTAAGGTAATTGTCCTCTTTTTTTTCAGTATCTTTATGATCTTATGTTGAATTATCTGGAGGAAAAGGGAATCTCTAACGAATTTGTAGAAAAATTGTCGGACTACAGCACAGCGTACGAACATACCGCTTATATAGGTCTCCTGGAGGGACTGTCAAAGTTTGTTTCTGGAAAATAGAAGTTACACAATGTATTATTTAAGTCTCAACTGTTTTTTTATTATTATTTTGAAGATTCCAATAAAGTACTGAAGTAAACTTAGTTTCCAATTTTGGCAGTATTTTAATTGCACAAATATTAAGTTGCATCCACTCGTTTCCTCATCTTGACCAAAACAAAAATAACAAGTATATTTTTTTTGCAAAAAACTTACTAGGTTCTAGAAATCAAGTTTTTTTTTTTTTTTTTGAAAATGTTCGATAGTATAATTTAAGTTCTTTATAAAAGCACATTTTACCTGTATAATCGGTTGGATTATTCTAAAATAACTTTACTGGTGAAGCAAGATTCACTAGTTCACACTGAAGTTTTTGAAGTAATAAATGAACAAGTGCTGGCATCTTTTATGTCTACTTCACCATTTTTAGATAAGAAAACTTCGTTATCTTGTTTAAGTCAGATTTATGGGCCTAGGACCCCTTATCCTTTTGGCTGTTTGAGTTTTTCTTGGGTTCCTGTGGGGCGGTAGGGGATTGCATGATCCTCTGTCGTCTTCTTTTGGCTCTGCCCTGTGTGTAGAAGTCGCAGCGTACTTCTTTGGCTTTGCGGCCGTTTAGGCATTGTTTCTTGTTTTATTTTCCGGCAAGCATGGATTGCAGTACCGGAAACTTCACTAGAAGCTGCCCTAAGGCCGTTGGGAGACCTTCGGGAGAGCTGCAGGCGTTCTCTGACGATGAGACGGAGTTTCTTCCGACAGGCTTTGGGTTTGTGGTCTGTCTGTTTTCGTTCGGCATATCTGAGGCCCTTTTATTTTCAGGGCGTTCTGGGCACCCATGAAAGCTCGCTGGGTGTTCTCCCTTGCAGTTAAAGCATCGCAAGGGCGAGTTTTTAGGTCTTTTGCATTCCTTGGTCATGTGCCGTCCGGCACATCTAACGCAGGCTGGAACTGCTTTACAGTTGCGTTGACTGAACTTTTGGCATCTGTAACATTGCCCTGCTCGGTTTCTCGGCTTCTGTCTTTCGGCGCACGTTTTGAATTTCGGTGATCTCGTATATTTTGTTTTGGCTCCTTGGAACTAAAACAAGCACGAACGGTATCGGTACCTTGTTAGCTTTACTCAGGCAGTCTACGGAAAGGATATCAAATCCTTTGCTCTGGAGTTCAGTCTTGATGTTGTCGCACTCTATGGATTCCGGGATCCCGCGAAAAACTACTCTGAGTGGTTTTTCGCTTTTCATTGTATAGGTGTAGTAGGGTATTTTCTCTTGATCGAGGATCCGAGTAATTCTATAATCATCTGTATTTTCAAGGTGTACTTTAATTCCATCTGTTGTGTTCACCGCCCGCAATATGGAGATGTTTTGCGCAGCAGCAATCGTGTTAAAAGCTTTTCACTTTTTTGCGTGTTTCTGCCCGGTCATTTTTCGAGGCGTCTGTTACTAGTTTTTCGTCGCCTACTTCCATTGAGTCAGGTGGCGGGACTTCTGTTTCCTCTATATTTGGCGACTCAGTTTTCTGAGTGGGCTTTTGAATTTGATCTCCCAGTGCCACGCCCGGCTTTTGTGATAAGGCGGGTGTAGTTTTATTTGATTTTGGCTTATTGGTTTTAGTCTGGGAAAAACCGGGTTTTAACTGTTTGATTTGTTGAGCCGTTTCTGGCTCTTTTTTCCTCTTTTTTTGGGGCCTTTGCCTCTTGGCTCTCTTCGCCCGACATAATATCGTCGCTGTCCAGATTGCTGATATCGGAGTCGATAAGACGATGAAATTAAAAATCGTTTCTATAACTTGCTCAATCTTGAAATATAGATGCTACACTTCGAAATTAGCACAACTTGGATGAGAAGAGTGGTACCAGTCGTGCTTGTCAATACACGGTCAATTCAGTCAATATTTTATTGTCATTTTGTCAAAGGATACCTACAAGGCATCTCACCTAAAACTCACATATAGAATATCTCCGGAACTAGAGAAATATTGATACTTGAAGATGGCAGTTACGATATCATTTTTTTTCATTAGGAATAAATTTGGAATTTGGTGAATTTGATAGGGTAATGAATTTGAAATAGTTTTGGTCATTTAAATTTGTTTCATAAAGCAACCATTTAGGATTCCAATATGTTTCCAAAAATTTTAAAGTTGACGAAATAGGTGTTCAAACCGAAGTAAACTTTTTTAAACGTGGTTTTCGAAATACATGGTGTTGAAATTCAAAAATTAAAATTATTTTCTCTCCAGAACTTCTAGAATGTAATTTTTTCATGAAATTCTCGTTATTGCCTCTGTGCAAAAAGCACTATTTTTTTAAAGCAACATCACATTTCTAGAGCATGCCACTGGCTTGAAATAGAAGTAGCTTATGCCAATTGTACTATAATTTTTTATGTCACTGGCCTAAAGTAATTTTTTTTTAAATTTTCAAAGTCCCTGTTCAGTTTTGCTAACGAGAAAATAGAGACAATATTTTTATTATCATTAATTAGGCAACAAAAAAACAGGGTAGCTTATCTTAATAAACGAGCGAGTATTCATTTCATACAAATTCAGCATCTCTTCCAAGTTACCTATTTAATTTACTTGAAACTACCTTATCCAAAAAATGCCAAGTGGCCTTTTCATTTCGACGTCAGTACAAACTGAATTTTCTGTACACCAATTTCTATGTAGTAACCACAAGAAAATATTGCCTCATTGAATAGATAAATTACAACTACCCACAAATACAAATTAAAATTATAAAAATGCTGAATGCAGATAGTTATATTTTGTGTTATGAAGTATATGAAAAAAAAATACAAATAAAATATATGAACATCAGAGGCATTGCATTACCAGACAAATATCAGCACTTACAGTATTTGTACACAGTTTCACATTCAATATCAAATAAATTAAAAGTAAACACATCCCAAACCAAGCATTACAACACTGAAATAAAACAATAACCAGTGTTGCCAAATTGTGTGGTTGTAAGTTTGAATTTATTTCTATACCTTCATCTGATTTTCAAATTCCTCATGGTTTGTATCCAAGGCATGTCCATGTGTTTTCCCAAAACATGATTTCAATCATCCAATCAAACATCTCATCTGAACATATATTAAAACATTATGAATATAAGGAAAGACATTTATTACTATTTTAGATAGTAACATTAAAACATTTGAATAAATAAAGCAGTGGAGTTTTTGAGTAAATCAAATAATGATAAACTTAATAGTAATTGATTACGATAAAAAACTGAGTTATCACATGTTTTCTCTGATAGGTTGCTTATGAGCTGAATAAAGAGTAACGATGCTTCCCAATGCGCTAACCAAAAATATAACGTCAAACCATCGATGATAAAAATTAAACTGTAAGGCACCCAGTACTTGAGTTATGATGGCACGGTATTGTACAGGCATATTCATTCGAAGCAACAAAACTGAAGATACGAAGTACATCCCCATAATCTGCGCCAATACCAAAACAATTATATTTGAACTCTTGCTAGATGACATTCTGTTGAAAAACTGAAAGAAAAAAAATTATTATTCAGAAAACTTTGTTATGATCTCGAATGTTTATCATAAGTTTAATCTAAGTAGTTTTTATAATCAATAATATAAAATAGAATATTTTCATGTTCATGAATATTATATAGTTTAGTCAAATACTTCTGTATTTGTAAAAAGCTCTCAAGGTGTCACTCACTACGCATTGAGAGGACTGATATGCGGAGAATTGCATATTTTATTGTGGATTACCGCCTTATAAAATATTGAATACTGATATGGAATGCTTCCCACATGCAAGTGAAGTATTCATTCTCCAAAAAAGGATAATGAGAAATCTAGAAGAAGTTGATTCCAAAACCCATGCTAAACCAATCTTTATAAAATGGGTCATACTTAGATTACCTTCTATTCATATTCTAGAAACAATATTTTTTATACATAAAAATAAATATAATAGTGGCTTCAGAATTCACAATCATGACACAAAACACAAAGACATCAGGTTGCATTATCAAAACCAGCCAAACAAACTGAGTTTCTTACAAAAATATATAACACTTTGCCTAGTAAGTGGAAAGACCTTCATATAAAAGAATTGAAGTACAAAGTGAAAAATTCACTTGTCACCCAAGCTTTCTATAAGATTGATGAGGTATTCAACTGTCAGTGGTCCTAATATATGTATAAAGCTCTTGAATATGAGCAATCTTCCAACAAGAAGGAAAAACCCTTTAATTGTAAGACAGGTTGAAAAGTCTGCAAAATAGTGGTGCTTGCTCACAATTTTTGTTGAACGAAGGATTGCCATTAGAAGCTTGTTTCATTGAAAAAGAAATATATGCAGCCATGGATGATAGAGAATAACTTCCGTGATTTCAGAAGCACAAGTTGATGGATTGTTAGAACTGAAACAAACATCTAGACAGGAAAAATTCGGAAATGGTCTTGAAGATCCTCCCACTCAGCATATCTGAAATACCAAACTTTGCGTGGCTTACATTGTTCCCCAATGTTTATAGGTAATTCACTCAATACTGAAACTGTGGTCAGAAGATCCCAATGGAGACCTTAGATAGTGACTGTAAACTTCTGGATTGGTTATTAGGTATAAATATAAATCCAGAAGAGTGGCATATTTTCTATTACAGTCAGGAATTCTGTTTGGCCATTTATAATCTGAGTAAGTCAGCTGCTTATTGCAAAATATTTTAGGAAGATTTTAATAACGATGCTGTTACATAAATAACAGATTATTTTTGGTTTTTACTATTATATATTATGTACATGCCCAACATTTTTGGCCGATTTTAATAACAATGCTGTTGCATTAATAGCAGATTATTTTAGGTTTTGACTATTATATATTATATTATATTATCTATGTGAATTGTATATTGTGCCTCTAAGTGCACAGAGTTTGTATTTTTAACTTTGTATTTGTACACGTTTTGACATACTCAATGTCATCTATAGATGATCCAACTGAATAAATATTATTATTATTACTATTATTAAAAGCCTCAGCTTCGCTACCTTGTTCGTCGTTGATATTTGAAAATTTGAACCATTCGATATTGTGGACAGTGAAGTCACCGAATATGAAAATTTTGGCACTGGGATGATTGATTTGCAGAAAGTCAATGGCATTTGCAAGTGAAGAGAATAGTGCCCTATATTGTGTATCGCTTGGTGGTCGATAAATGCAGCATATGAATTTAGTAATCTTCTGTGATATTATTTCAAACCACATAACATCAAAGTTTTGGGGTTCCAGCATTTCTTCTCATCGACAGGAGAGATCGCTTCTGGTAAAAAGAGATATTCCAAAGTTACGTCTGAATCTGTTTCTGTCTGTTAAAATCTGTTCAACAGACAGACGGGGTTTGTTGAGGCATTGAGTTTGGTTTCCGTGAGTGCATGAATATTAGCTCACTAGCTCTTTGCACTAGAGTTCTGAATTTGATGAGAAGTTAATAATTGCACTGAATAATTTACCTTGGTTAATGTAATGATGAATCCACGAATTGATGTGACAACTATACAGCCTACTAGGTAAAATGCAACTTGTTGAGACCAAAAGTTCACATCGAAATTCCAACCCATCCAGTGTATAGCTATTTCAATACCACGTGTAACTGGATCTTTCTTTCCCACTCTATCAAAAACAATATTTACAGTACACTGAAAAAAAAATAGATAGATAGTGTCTATAAACACATATTATTAATGAAAATGAACCTTAAAGTATTTTTCAACTCACAATGAAAATTTTCCATAGACAATATCCAGAAAATATGTACCCCAAAAAATTGAAATATATTCCTTTCCACGTTTTAGACCACTCTATCCTTTCCAACATATTGCGGTTTTCATGAACCTCTAGGAAAAGAGTTCGACTCAGTGTTTCCAACCCCTCGATTTCTAGCCTCAGCTGAGTAATATCTGCAATGTGCATACTGATTAAAACAGCAGATAAATGTTGAACTAGACCTACTTTCTTGGTTTCTATTAAGTCCACTCGGAGATAGAATACCCCAGAAACTGGTCTTCTTTATGGTATCCTTCCCATTTTCTAAAGATTGCTTTTTGGCTATTGCAATTCTTTTTTTTCTTATCAAAATCATATCCATAGTTTGCATTAATCTTTTTTCTATACTTACAACATCTGCCTCAGATACTTCTCTGAAACAAGAAAATTCAACATTTTTATTACATTTCAGGAAATATTTTCATGCATTCAATATCAATTAATCAATTTATCAGTGGCAGATTCATGAAAAATGTAGAAAACAATAATTTTCACTGTATTTAAAACCAATGAGCTCAATTACTTGGAATAACCAATCAAGTCATTGGGTCTCACCTAGAACCAATTGATTGAAAAAAATGATGTTGCCATACTCAGTAAATACATGGGCAAGACAATTCAAACCAATTTGCTTTTTTTTTTCTTTCAGCAATGTCAAATGATGAAAGGTATTGTTATTTTTCAGGTTAAAAGATTTCTTTTGTCCATAAAAAATAATACATTCTCTAATAATACCAAAAGAAGAAATTTGCAAGAAACAAGAGCAAACGATTTGCCATGTAACAGAAATATATCAATCAATATTTATTTGATCCATCAAGCTTGCAGAGCTATTGGATAAGTCACTCAAAACTAATGATATAGTTAATGGAGAATATGAATAATATTAAGTATGAATAATATGTTTCAACATTAATATGCATTAATGAACATGTATATACAATACAAAATACGATAAACAATCAATGGAAACATTCAATGAATTCATTTATAGTATAGGGACACAATGCACAAATGTGCATTGTGATATATGCAGGATTTACTGGAAAGCAAGAGTATGTTGTATGGGTACAAATGCATCTGGGAATACAAGGGATAACTAGTTTATATATAACTTGAACAAAATAGGCCTCAATGAAGAGCCTTGACTGGTGATTCAATAGATATGTATTGTAAATTGATGGATGTAGCCGTTACTACGTGGTCGGAGATCATGAAAAATAATAAATGAAAATTTCTACGTTTTTTACCACTTTCATTTGTTACTCAGTTTACTACAGTTTTCATATGTATTTCTCTCTAGATTCTGTTTGAAGTTTATCTTCTGTAGACTCAAAAAGACATTCAAGCGCACCATCATCAATTGTGAACAATATTTTTATTTTTTCCTAGATGGTGGTCTTGTATTCAGTGTTCATCATGAACTAAATGACAAGACAAGCAAATAATAATAATGAAAGTAATTCCTAATACTACTTTTGTGTACACTCAAGGAAGTGTTTGAGAGGGGAAATATTATTTTTTATTCTGACCACTGATGTGGTCCTCAAATATATTAAACTCTTTTTTCTTTGAAATATTCAAATTTGAAACTAGCCTATAATTTGAACTCGATTTAACCTTGAATTCGAATAAATTCCTTCAAACACCAGTGCTACTTGTGGTTCTCTTAACCTGAGTACAGTTAAAATCAATTATCAATGATAATTCGATTGACTCCAGCAATTATGAATTATACTATTAATAGAAAAAAATACTTCAAATTTTTACCCCCCTGATCAACAATAATAATAAAAACAATAATTAGAAAGTTTTGTATAATTAATGTTTGCCTCTCTGTGCCTCATCGGGGGTACATTTTTTGGCAGATCTAAATATTCTTCATTTTCAATTATGTATTATGAAGAAAACACAATTTTATTAGTAATTTCATGTAGTTTTTACAGCTTTATTGGTGGTAATGTACTTGTTGACGTCAAAATACTTTGAAACTCAGATATGCGTGTTCCCTATTGGATATCTAGTATTGTTTTGCAATACTAACCTCATAAAATAAGCCATTGAAGTATAAGGATAATTAACAGCACCAAATCCTGATAACAGAGCCATAACTGTCACTCCTATAACTCCAATCCTGGACACTAGTTGTTCCATTGATAACACCCCCTGTTTTGGATTCATTATTGGAAATGGATCGCCTATTTTCCAAAAAATTATCAAAAACATTATCCAGACAAGTACAGTCAACTTCATCACATAGTTTGGTTTCACTGGAAAAAAGGTGTTCAACAAACATTCAAAAAACTTCAGTCTATTAGTAACAAGTTGTCCTTCCAAACAACACCTGGTATCCTGTTGATATTCAATTAATATGGAATATTCTATGAAAATCTGAATGGAAATAAGAAAAAATACTAGTTAAGAGCTTTTGCAATTTTCATCTATTTTTCACTCAATTTTATCATAAATTCTTACATTATTTATTGGGGTTTCATTAATATATCAAAATTGCTCATAAAACAGACAATGCCACCTTCTAATGTTTGTTATGTCTTTGACTCTGTATGTAAGTATGTATGTTCTGATTTCGACTCTTCACCCTCATACATTGTGTATTGATTGTGTTTTTGATTTCAGATCAACTTTACAGTGTTTTATCGGTTACTTTTCAGTATTCTCATTTCTTGTTGATATTAATTTTTTTCACAATTTAACACTTTTTTTATATTCTTTATGGACTTGTCAAAATGAAAGTCCATGATAAACCTTGTGAAAAACTGTCATTGAGATTTTCATACAAAACAGTAATATTTGTTTCACTATATAAGAGATTCTCCAGGCATGTTTAATTATAAACCATGTATAGTGTTTTTTAATATAAAAATAAATAAAATTATAATAACTTTCATCAATTACTTAAAATACTATTATTAATCAGTATACTTACAATCAAAAAGTGGTAATGACTACTTCCCTTAGGGATTGACTGAAAACTTAAACTATGAATATCAAAGATTAACAAGTGTTGCCACCTCTTATTCTTAGGGCAGAATATGTTCAAAAATTGTATACATTCCCCTTCCTAGTACCATTTATGATTTACAGTATTGAATTATGGATGCCACACTGGTATTATACAGTAACATTTTAAAAATGAAGCTCGACAGACGAGATTTATTCAATTCTGCCGGAAGATGGTTTCGAAGTGTTGAATAGATGCTGTGCTGTTCAATTGTTCTGTGAAATATTCTTCTTGTTTGAAAATTATTAAAGGTGAAACAAAAGCCAAAGTCAACTCATCACTCTTGTGGAGTCAGACTGTAATCCAGAAATCAACATGGATTCTGTAAAAACATGAGCACAGAATCTGCTCTGTGTGATTTTCAAAAATGTCTTTTGGACAATCTTGATAAGGGAAAATATTCTCTTGATCTTTTCATTGACTTTTCAAGAGCTTTCAACTTAGTAAGGCTTTTATGTAGTAAGATAGAATCGTATACAGTTGGGGTGATACCTTTAAAATTATTTGAGTATTTCATCAGTTCGGACTTCCATTGTCTAATATAATATAAATTGATTTGAAATCCCTGAAAAAAAAATTAAATAGAGATTAACCGAAAATAACAATTTTATTAAACAAAAAACTGAAATTACAAAGAAAAAACATACAAGCTACAACCCAAAAAAATAAAAATTGAAATTGTAATTTCAGTAATTGTGATTTCAGTTTTTTGTTTAATAAAATTGTTATTTTTGATTAATCTCTTTTAAATTTTTTTTCAGGGATTTCAAATCAATTTATATTATATTAGACAATGGAAGTCCGAACTGATGAAATACACCACAAAACATTGCCAACCACCTTCAAACAAAAAGTATTTTAATCATATTTAAATGGCAGAAGTCAGGTTGTTAAGACTGAATGAAGTTCTGAGTAGTTAAATATAAAAATAGTGTGTTATGCAGACAATACCAATTTATTAATTTTTGAAAAAAGCATAGACATGCTACTGACTAAAACTGAGAGGATTTATGAAGATATCATTCGGTGGTCTGAAAAAAATTGTTTGTTACTGAATCACAGCAAAACAGTCACAGTATTTATTTTTTTGGCGCTCCAAACAAAGACCGCCTCTGTTATTCAAAAATACTGAAAAACAAAGAACTTGTAGTAATGAGGTGAAAATTTTGGGAGTAATTTTCGACAAACATCTGCAATGGGCAAGTCATACAGAACTATTGTCTAATAAGCTGAGAAGTAGTTGCTACAGCATAAAGTTTATGAAAGACCACTGCAGCAAAAATGTCTTGCTTACGCTGTACTTTGCAACATTTTAAAGAGTATAGTTCAGTATTAGACACGCCTGAAGAAATTATTGCGAAGTGAAAGATAGGTTGAAGTTTTGTGGGTGTACGCTATCATTTTGATTTTTTTTATTTACATCGTTTTATAGATAGATTCTGGAAATCATTATAGATACAAATAATTGAAAAAGTTGATTATAAAATTTGTTTAAAATATGTTCAAAATCTGTTTTTCCGTTAACCAGCTGCAGCACCCCTACGAATGACAACCCTCAGAAGTCGAAACTTGTGCTAGCTAAGGACTTAAGGGGTCTTACCTTTTAACGTATGATTCCTAACACGGTTTGAATGATAAGCATGAACAGACTATGAAAGTCCACTTCACAGGCATCCTCAAAGGATATATATCTTCCACAGTATCAGATCAAACATTTTGTACTATAAGTTTCATTCAATCACAGATTACCAGCCCTATTTTGTATATTCTAACAATGACTCTGGCTGTGAAAGCTTATGATCTTATATTATGGATGAATATTTTATGGACATACAGGACGGTATTCTCTACTTGTCCAGGTGTTGTTTTGATATAAGACAAACTTTTAGACACCTTGTTTTGAAGTATTTTTAATAATAGTTTACCAAGGACTATCTTACCATATCTAATATTACTGACACAGTAATATCCAATATAAAATGGATTCAGAACTATCACAACAAATAGCAGCAAATATAACATGAGATACCAGTAAAAAAACCTAGAGCTGAAATGTAAAGTAAGATTTGAAAAACTGCATTTTAGTCACTGAAAATAAATTAACCTACCTAGAGTCTAATAGTCCTAATATTTCAAAGATTATTAATTCAAACATAGTACAAGATAAAGTTAGCGTGATGGAAAAAATCAGTTGGACCATTTTATGCCGTACTTCATAGTCTTTGAATAATTGTTTCATAAAAAACAGCCAAGCCCCAACAAAGAACATTACCTAAAAACAAAACTCTGTAAAATTAAAGGAGTTTTATTATTATTATTATTATGTTACCTGTGAGGCGAGTACGATTATAGTATCGTGAAGAAAACTCATTTTCAGATTTTTTCTTTGTCATCACTTCTTAATATGAACTTTTACTTAGTGAAAAAATGCATATTTGTAAAAATTTAAAACACTTTAACTGAACTTTTGACAGATTGCCACACAACTATTTGAAAAACTTAGGTTATGTTTTTGTGACAAATGTCGCAACAAAACAGGCGTGTAACAAAATAGGCGTGTTCTAAAATTATTTACTTCATCCCTCGAATACGCCATATTAGTTGGTGAAAACCGCGTCGAGAAGAATGTTGCAGTTCTAATGTTTGAGAACAGTGTCTGATTTGGAAGCTTTTTTTCATCATACGCTCGATAAAGCTATTGTATAGCGAAACACGTGTTGCGGTTTTTTGAATTGTCTATTGGAAATCTCACAATAAAGTATTACTTGATAAATAATAGTAATGGTTTGCGACCTTGAAGATTTTCCTGTAGTGCTTGTGTTTGGTCCTAAAAAAATGAGAGACCAGGAATTGAAGCTTTATTCTCTTTAGGGCAGCTGCCCGAGCAGCTGATGAACTCGATTTAGTTTTTCGACACTGAACGAGGTGATCACAACTCTGTCACCGAGTTGGAGCCCGTTCAGCAAAAGGCTCTTATAAAAGCCGCAGAGATCACCTCACTTCTGCGGCAACACAAGGATACAATGCATGGGGTAATTTTCAACAACATTGAAGACCTTGGCTTGTCAAAGCGCCTGACTCTCACTTCCCTCAGGTCGAGTAGGCTGAAGTCGGAAACTGAGGGGTTCATCATGGCCTGCCTTAGTCTACCGCAGTCGCGTGATGGGTATAGAGGTTCCAGGCCCCCAAGATCCTAATGCACTTGCTTTCAGCATGTCCAGAATATGCGGTCTCGGCTAATATCCCTAAGAGTCACAAACTACTTTGTGCTAAGAGTGTTTTATTACCACCTACGGTACTTTTATAGTATTGAAGACACACCGGTGTTGCCCTACCCTCCGGGGGATATTGAATCCGTTGTGGGGAACAAGAAGTGCCGAATTTATTGGAACTATTTGTTCCAGAGCAATTCAATATTTGTCAAGGAATTTTCAGCTTTGGGCGAGACAAATATCGTCCGAAAAGAGGAGAAAAAAAAACGGATAAAATATCGATTTTCTCTTCGAACTCCGCAGAGTCTATATCAAGACCACTCACTCGAAATGGTTGTTCTGAATAATGGAATTCTTGGTGGAATGATGCCCTCTCTACTCTCTAATCTCAAAACCATACCGACTTGCCGCACCAAGGCAGAAATCTTAGCCAGACAGATACAGAATGCTGTCATCCTTGGCTCACTGTGCCTGCTCAGGACACATGATTCTTAGAGCCAATGATCACTTACCCCACGTTGTGGGGAGTGCTCGTTGGTTGATAATGCTGGCGCGCCCTCTTGAACGTATCGGGGTTTCGGAGAATAGGGCCTGATCAGCGGAAACTTACATAAAAAAATTAAAATAATTATTTCATTATTAATTTT